GATTGAACACAATATGCATTAGCACTTCCTGCACCTGAAATCATCATTTTGCTTGTATCTGGAGGTACCGAATATTTATTTTTGAACTTATGAATTATTATTTTTTGTCTGAGAAAACTGCTATTTAGGAAATGTGTTTTGCACGAAAGGTTATTTGTCCAAGGAATCGGCCACAATTCTAGCGAACTCTGCCGTACAAGAGTGCACCATGACATCATCTGCAGAGCCTCAAAGCTACACATCCCTCGCAGTGACTTTAGTAAATGTGATTGACAGCTGGGCAAGTTAGGACTTCTCTGCAATGTTTCCGATGCGCTGTGCACACCACTGACTCCATGAACAATCTCTTCTCACAATGTAGGCCTGTCTCTTGGATGGATATGAGTGTGGCACCAGCTGTTCCTGACATGCATGGCACAAGTTCACCATGACTAAACAGTCTATAACCATAAAATTCCACATATTCTTTGTCTTTTTTTTGGAAGGCTGGCCAAGTGACCGTAAGAGCATAACTTAGCCGCCTAAATCTCTTTCCCATGGAAGTCAATATGCTTATTAGTTTGCATGTAATTGCTGCAGGCAGAATGTCAATATGACGTTATCACTTCAGCCACTGGCCTTATAACATTTGCATTTGCTTTTCTAGACAAAGAGGTGCAGTAAAAAAAAGGTGCTTTAATACAAATCCAAATATTTTTAAGGAGTTATTTTAATGGCCACAAACTTTTTCCCTGCTTTTGACCCATTTGTGTAAAACATAAAGTGATCCCTCCCTGCCAAACCTATTCCGTTTCACTACGGCCTGGATGAACAGTTTCACTTTGACCTGCAGCACCATCTTGGGGTGAATCCTAGTATCACATGTAGACCATTCAATACAATGTCTGTCCCTACAAGCTCTAGGTTCTATCCAAGTGAACATAAAAAGGGTTAAGGATCTTTATGTTGCTTACCAGGAAGGGTGTAGAAGATGCAAACCTCAACAATTAACCAGCGTGGGTGATATATTAGTGACTCTAAAATCCCCTTTTAAATGAATATTGGGAATTTAAACCCAAAAACTAAAGAAAACTGTTCACCCTGATTACTTTTGATCAACATTTGTACTCAAGCTCAGCTTGTTCTCTACCTATAATTAGGTAAATGGTTCCCTTAAGGGTACTCATGGAATGTTAGTTAAGATACTCAACCAGAAGATCTGTTTTAAGTATCTCCTTGCTGTCATTGCTCAAACAAATGAATACAGAACTACAGGGAGCTGTTAACATTAACACTATGGTGGAGTCCACATAATGTATGGACATAATGACGTATCATACTCATGAGTAGAAGTACTTAAGGTTATAAACACAATCTAAGGTATCAGCATAGGTTACTTGCTATAAAATGATAACATGTGACTTGTAAGTGATAATTATTTTCCCCTTTCATTGGTAAAAATAGTGATTGTTACAGGAAATAGTGATCGTTATAGCTAACTGAATTGAGGCCAAAGCTTAATGTACCTGTAACCAAAGAGTTCCTCTTGTCTGGTTCCTGTGATTTCCAAAGTTTAAATAGCTGCTCAGTGTATGCATTATATATATAT